GGGCATTTAATCTGGCCCTAATCCTAAGTACAAAATTAATACCTCCCTGTTTCTATTCAGGAAAAACGCGCGCAAAGAAGAGGAGCTCGCGAAGCAACAAGCGATAGGGAAGCGGTCGTTGCCGAAACGGATACGAGCGGAGCAGAAAGCCAGGGAGATGATGTTCAGGGAGTCGCTGAGAATCAGCGCACCGCCTACCCATGAAGAGGAGAGGGAAAGGCTAAAGAAGGTACGGTGAACACTTCTCTAACGGCGCACCCGTTAACCCGTTCTCGTTTTGCAGAAAGAGCGAAAGCACCATTTCGTAAAAATTTTCTGTGATTGTCGTTTTTGTGTTTAACGATTATTTTAAAATATTTACGTCCTATTTTAACATTCAATTTTGGTTTCAATTATGTTCAAGTTGTAAAATTGATTTTAAAACAGAACGGAAATATTTTAATTACCTCGCTCAACATAATTTTGCGGCAGGTATCAGTGGCGAGGCATGAAAATTATCCTTTAGCAACATTGACAAGTCAATGCAGTACAATTATAAATTTAACAGCTGGAAACTAAAATAAAAGAAGAAGAATAGGTTTAACTTATTGACGAAACAAAAAACACTAACTTTAACAAAAATTTATTTTCCTGTTAAAAAGGCACCTTGGTGACACTTAAATACAACACTTAATTAGCACACGAGATACTAGTTCAATTCATTTCACAGGTTAACTTATTCTACACATAAAATAACTATAGTTTTTAAAGTAATTTTCTACTACTGCCTATCGCGAACTCACTAATGTTAAGTCTTGCTATTTTAGTTACCTACGAATTACCATTGACCTTCTTACACTACATGACATTCTTTACGTAGTCATATTAAAAAGAAACAAGTATTAATTTACTATTATAATAATTTTGTTCCATTATTTTTAAGAAAGTTTTACACCTGGAAACGATTATTATAAATTAAACGGTAATTTGTTGTAATAAGGTTTAAAGGAGCTGTTCCTTTAGTGGTACTAAAAGAAATGGAAAATTTAACCAGGCTGTTAGTTGGTTTTTTGTAAAGAGCTCTCAAAATCTAGAAAGTCTGAATTAAAAACAAAATTATTTTTGACCTGCAATTTCCAGAAAAACGTTAGGGATTTTTAATACTATGTAAAATAAAACGGAACGCAATCCCACGAAACGGAACGGATTTTTATGTAATTTTTTGGCGAATTGGCCAGTGGCCAATGTCAAAAAAATATTGACAGATCAGATGTCAAAGTCATTCTTGTTTGCAATTTAATTAGCCAATTAGAATAATGATTTTGATTTTGAGAAGTGTTGAAGCTTTCTGGATTTTTTTCGATATCGCAGTGTTGCTGGAATTAGTTAAACATATTAACCACACTTTTGTTTTAAATAAATAAAAAATACAAGTCACAATAATTTCTTTAATTTTTTTGCTAAGCACTTTATTTAAACTTATATGTAGCAAAAAAATTTAAGCTGGTTAAATTTTTCTGGGAATAAAGTACCAAGCTCCATATTAATTCGGTACCAAGTCCTTTACGTGATCGCTGTTCGACTAGAAGCCGTTTAATTCCGGCTTCTCGGCCGCCATTTCTTTAGACGTTATAAAAAGGATTTCTGCGAATGTGTGCGTGTTTTGATGAGAGCGCGTATATTTCATGAATGAAATAGAACTCGCAGATCCGCCGGCTTTCCTCGCGCTGATTGGTTGAGGTGCATCAGGACTAGTTATTTATTAGTGAACATTTTGAATATGTTTCTTAAGTGGTGGGGATGCGCGCTGTTTAGTACAATATTTTGGCAATACGCGGACAATTTTAGGCAAGCAGGTGGGAATCGAGTTATATGGACGCCTCGCCACCGGCAGGTATACAGCTGTGGTCCAGTACACGGGCTAGTTATGCACAGCAAGAAAACCGTACCATCTTACATGAATGATTATAACGTTATGCTATTTCATCTTTGTTTAGTTCCAAGAGAACGAGAAACGACGATACAAAGCGGAGCAACAACGGCTCGCCACCAAACACGCGAAGGCTCGTGAGGAGCTTAAAGCTGCAGGAGAGGTAAGACTTTAACCACCTGGAGAGTGACTGCAGATACCTTATCGTTATGATACCTAATTAATAAAGGAGCTTGTGTCCAAGCAGTATGAACGAAATGGCGGTTGTTGTGCCTGCACCTGTAAAGTTTCCCGAAGTATTAGATCCCACAGCTGGGCACAGGTCTAAGAAGAAGGATAGGAAGGGAAAAAGACATTACCTTATTAAAACAAGAAACTACAAAGTTTGTCATTTAAAATAGGAAGAAAAATTTGTCACGGTAAATTTGTTTTACTTTTTCTATTATACATTCTCTTTCATTCTTTAGTCATTTATTTTATCCTGTAATTGTTTGAGGAAAGCACAATATACAGGGTTATTTTTAAAATGCCAATAACCTCGCAGGACTGTATTACTGACGTCATAAACTATGTACTAAACACAAACTACATAACTACCTTTGTTCCATGACTTTTAATAATTCATTATTTAACTGCCTCCGTGTCCGAAGGGGTACCTTGCCGGACTGCCACGCAGAGGTCCCAGGTTCGATTCCCGGGCCGGGAGAAATATTTGTATGGCCTACATTGATTTCTCTCGTGAGTTTGGGTGTAATTTGTGGTTGTCTATGTGTGTGTCCATGGCACCCGCGATACAGGGTTTCCCTAGTGCGGGGCTATGTTGAGTGTGTGCGTTATACTTAAATTTAGAGCTCAAAACTAAAATAAGCAATGTGGTAGTTAATAGGGACTTCGTTTTTATTTAACTGCACTTATTACTGTAAAAGATCATTTCGTATTTATGAATTAATAAATAAATTTCATTCTAATTGATAATCCAAATAATACAACTTTTAGTCTGTTCCAATCCATTTTGAACAAAAAGTAAACAAACCTGTTTGTTTAAAATTCTAAAGCAATTACTCAGTAAGTAAATCGAATAAGTAACACTTTCACGTATATTTCGAAGATTTCGACTTGATATCTCATCATTTTTTCCAACAATATTCATTTGAATAACATCGTAAAATCGTATTTGAAGAAATGGTAGTTTAGAAGTGAGGTTATTATTCATCTATACTTGTATGACTTGCCTATGGTTGCATTGTGCTATTCGAAAAAAAACATTCGGTTCAATCAATTAAAGTTTAGTAATCGATTATTAAATCGAACATTTCAATCGCAATCGAACTAGTACCTAAGTGTAAGTATTTGAAGGAGGATTTAAATTGAAATTTTAAATATGCTTATATAAGGTTATATACGTAAAACCTCTAGTATCACTCAATTGAACTTTACTAATTTGTTCAAAATGGATTGAAACGAAGTATAGATTCTAGCTTATTCTCGTCCGGCTATACCTAACTTCCCGGCTTCTGCAATAATATATTATATCATTACCATCCAGGCGTTGCTTCGCGAACTGGAGCAGTACCAGAACGAGAAACGCAAGGCGCTCCAGAACCACGAGATGGCTAAAACCAAAGCTATAGAAGAGCGCTGCAGTATGGAGATCAAAGAGTGGAGGGCAACCCTCGGAGACAGGAAGATGGTGAGTTTTAACGTTAACAGATTTGTTAGTAAGAGTTTTGTTGTGGGGTTGTTCTTATTTGCAAAACGACACCTTTGAACACTTTAATTTTTGATCATTTTGTGTTTAATGTAAACAGCCTTATTACAATTATGTCCCCGAATTTTGTGAAAAAAAGATAGTAGCTTAAAAAAGAAAGTTTACTAGCAGTAGAGTTCCATGTGATTTTTTTATAATATCAAGTGACGGGACGAACAAGCCATGCGCCTGATGGTAAACTACACGCCTGTCCATGACAATTGCAGTGCCACTTATAGCTTTAAATCGCAAAGATATGACGGGCATTGCCACTGCGCCTGTCACCCTGACACATAAGTTGACATGACCCATGTGCCTGTAATTTCTCAAGCATAACCATTTATAACCGAAACTCGGTAATGCTGGCATTACTGCTTAGCGACAGAAAGAGGTAAGGTGACAGTCCCATTCACGAGTAGCTCTACTCAAGCTAGAGTTCGTCCTGGGTAGTACTTTGCCACCTTACCTATTTCTGCCGCCAAGCAGTAATGTGTGCATTATTGTGTTCCGGTTTTGAAGGGTAAGGGTGCTGGTGAAATTGCAGGCACATGGGACATGTCAATTTATGTCTCAGGGTGACGGGCGCATTGGCAGTGCCCCAAGATCCTTGTGAGTTAATCTCTGAATGGCACTGCAACTGTTATGGGTAGGCGTGCCGCTTACCATCACGCGCACGACTTGTTCGTCCCGGCACTTGGTATTAGAAAAAAAAACAGCACCAGAAATGACCAAAAAAATCGAAAAGACACTGCGCTCCTACGAGTGTAGGTTAATTGTTCAATGTTTTGCATTCTATTTTGTGTTATTCTGCGAGAAGGACGACCCCAGCGATGTTAAATATTTTCATATTATTTCAACGACATTTAGAATAAAAATGATATGTTTTAATTAAGAATGCATGACAATGAAACTAATGACTTTGCATGAGCATGTATGTGTGCTTTCGACTAACGGTGATGGATGGTTTCAGATATACTTCTTTGTATATATACCGATAAGGTAGAGTTTTTGTTCACTTTCAGGTGTTACGTTTAGATTTTAATTAGGAATGTTTGTTAGGAATGTACGTTTCAAGTGGGTTGTTAAGACGGAATTTACACATGCGATACTAGAGTTGATAACTTTCAAAACATTCTTTGTCTATATGAGCTCGAAATGGTCTAAGATATCTGAACTTTTCACAATATTTCTTTAAAATTCTTCTCAAAAATTAGTGAAATTACGTCTAGTTTTCACTGAAGAGGCTGATAAGCTAAGGGAATCGATAACATACGTACGAGTACTACAATATCAATTACATATAGATATAGGTAACAGTACATTAGTAGGAGCACGAGGATATATTTATCCTTTTAGTCCTACCAGTAGGAGCATGAGGAAATGGCCATCTATTTGTCAAGTTATATTGAAATCTGTTAAAAGAGACTACCTTTAATGGCTTCGATTGATTCCACATAACTGTGAAAGTGTTGAATCAATCTCTTTGGAAATTATAGGAATATATCATTGACTTACGAATAAATGGACGACGGGTCTAATACAAAAACCACGAAAAAAATGTCCCAAGTCAACCTATTTCAACGTAGTGACATGTAAAGGAATATGAAAAAGCTAAAACGTTGAATTTAAATTGTAATGTCATCGTAGTACTGTCTAATTTTGCATGCTTCGCTGTCAGTCGAACAAACTAAGACTAAAGCGTGAATGACGCTCTGTATACGATTTTAACGCCCTATAAGTTCGGACACTTTTTAGCGCGGACCCGACGTCCATATATTTGTAAGTCAATGGAATATATAGTAAAAATGAGAAACACTGATTACTAACTATACGGTGTGAAAACAGGATTAATAAAAATTTTGACGATAGAAAGAAAAGACGAACTTACCTCCAAATTTTACAGGAAAACCGTTGTATTGAATTGGTACTTTACATATACTAATGATTTTTTTATATCACCTGAAGTAAATAGAACACGTATACCATACGATATACATTTTTCAAATGTCGTTTGTAAAAAAATAAATTGTGAAATAAAGCCATAGAGTCCCTGTCGCTCGACCCTAGCAAAATGAACCGTATTAGTACGGGAGATATTTAAATTCGAGCTGACGCAGTATCGACTCTTAACGGAGAGTGGGTGAAATTCAGTAAACCGGATTCATCCCCTAGTTTGCCGCCCTTACAGGTGGAATATTTTCTTCAAATTTGTATGGGACCACTATTGAGGTACCCCTATTGCACCAAAAAAAAAAAAATAGTCATCGAAATCAGTTCACAAATAACGGAGTGACTATAGTCTGTTCCAATCCATTTTGAACAAAAAGTAAACAAACCTGTTTGGTTTAAAATTCTAAAGCAATCACTCATTAAATCGAATAAGTAACACTTTCATGTACATTTCGAAGATTTCGACTTGATACATCATCACTTTTTCCAACAATATTCATTTGAATAACATCATAAAATCGTATTTGAAAAATGGTAGTCCAAAAGTGAGGTTATTATTCATCTATACTTAGTATGACTTGCCTATGGTTGCATAGTGCTGTTCGTAAAATAACATTAGATTCAATCAATTAAAGTTTAGTAATCGATTATTATTTCAATCGTAATCGAACTAGTATCTAAGTGTAAGGATTTGAAGGAGTTTAAATTGAAATTTTAAATATGCTTATATAGGTTATATAAGGAAAACCGCTAGTATGACTCAATTGAACAAAACGATTCATTTAATGAATTAATCGATTTGTAGTTGGCGTTACAATTGGCCATCACTAAACCGTCTATGATCGGGTCAGTGACTTGTTTGTTTACTTTTTGTTCAAAATAGATTGAAACGAAGTATAGAAAGTAGTTCGATTTTTCTAAAGTTTTATCCCATGAGATTCTGGTACACCTATAACATACTTAATTCCTTTTTGCCATTATTATTACAATTACAGTCAATGAGGCACCATATTGCTACTGAGCTATTGTATCATTGCCATAAAGTTATTTTTTTAATAAGTGTTCAGATATTTTTGGGCATGTGAAGCTAATATAAAATCTTTTTGATTACTGAGTCTCAGGCTTATTATTAGAGCTCGGTGCTATTAGAAAAGCGAGCAAACTTGAATGTAAAATAATTAGAAAAGTGTAAATTCCGTCAACAACTTAATTAAAATGGTTATCACTAATTACAGATTTTTTACCACGATATGAGTGTCTAATTTTCCAACATTTAAAATGAAAAGAATTTTTACCGTTGTTAGAAACCTGTTATTCTACTTTATCCAACCATTTATGTTACTTTTAACATAAGTATCCCTATTTTTTTTTTGTTAATGACAGGAAAGTATAGACCAAAAAAAATCTTTTTAGTTCCTATATTTATCGAGCCGACAGATTATTCAAGTTGATTTATCTGTTGTTTTGGTACTAGTATGCAACAAATTATAAGTAATCATACGAAATTCTAATTGTTCACTATAATTAATCGTCGGGTTCTTCTCCATATGAACTGGAATAATCACTTGAAACCTCGGTAACAGTAACTATTAATTCATTTTGAATGTGAACTCGCTCACATTCACCATTAAAACTTGTTCATAAATATAGTCGATTGTTATATATAACGGCTAAATCGGTAACGTGTTAGGACATCACTAATTGATTAGTAATTGAGCTGTCAAAAGTACAATAAATGGTTCGACGGAATTTAGTGATAATCATTTAGCAAATAACCACGAAAGTCTTGAAATCAAGAATTATATGTCTGTGCCGTTCCTCAACCCGATAACATCGAAATAACTAGACACACCTTTCTCAGCACCTGATACAGCAGTTCGAAACGCAATTAAACGACCACGAGAAGAAATTCGGACTACCAATTCTCGACCGTAGCGTTTACCTAGACGCGCCATGGCCCAAGAACATCTTACAACATGTCTTGTCCGCCTACCATCAAAGAAATTCGTTCATGGGGTCATTGTCCCGGTCAAGAACCAGCCTTAATCTATTAACCACTTCTAAGACGCCAGACATGGAACGTCGTAGAAGTATAAGTCCTTCGAACAGAGCGAATTCTGCCTTGTCAAATAGATCATCAAAAAGAGGGAAACTGACCAAAGGATCCCGATACGCTTCAACGTCTAACTTGAAACAGGTTTCGGATAAGATTTCCGGCTTTTCAGTCTTCAGTGGTTCGGACGAAATGCGACGAGAACCAATCATGGCTTATGGCAACGATATTCCGACGGAATTGCGTCGGAATGCTAAGAACATTGAAGAGGAACCGAGAAAAAACCTAGACCGATCCAAACGTATACAAAAAGAGGTCAATGACAAACGTCTAAACAGACAAAGCATGTCAGCGCAGTTGCTTAAAACTACTGAAAATATTCCACCTATGAAACGAAGTATTTCGCAACAAAGTTTAAAGCAAGACGTTGCCTTAGAAGCGGTAATGATCGATCTACCGTCTATAGAAGGGAACAAGTATGATACTATGAAAAGTACAAGTACGTTCGCGACAACAAGTTCGCAAGACTCTGACATCGATATTGACGGCATAATGTCCCAACACTTCAGCAGATGGGGTCCTATACGCGGGTCGAATAGTTACTCGGGCTCAAATGACATTCCAGTCAGCCAATTGTCGACATTAAACATAAGGAAGTCCATTATGTCGAATAAATCTAATAACAATGAGGATTCTGTGGTGTAAAACTTTTAAAAATGCAGAACTTTTCTTTTAACTTTTAATACTGTGTTGGTTTTGTTACGTACATTCACTAATGCGTATTTTAAAATTGCGCTCCGAGTCGACACTAAAAATTATGTTGTCAGAATGTCGGTCAGGTAAACAGACTTCCAATTCTTTAAAAGAAACGTTTTTAATACAATTTGCGGAAATAAGGGAGTTAATTTGTCTAAAGTATGAAGGTTTTCTTAGTATGGACATGCCCATTTCGTCATTAACACATATAGAATTTATTTTTTTTACTGTTATTTTCTAAACATTTCAAAAAGTAGGTTGACTCATGTTTATTTTTTAAATGGCTAAAGTATTTTTAAGTACGTAAGTACCTTATAATACAACTACGATATCGACTGTCAACTGGCAACAATGCCAAGTAAGTGCTTAATACGAAAATATAATAATGAATAATATCAATTTGTCGCCAATATAGGTATAGTTGAAGAAATATTATTTGCACCGATGAATGTTTTCGCTTGGAACTGCTGATTCTTTCTATTACAAATCATCAAGTTCAGAGTAAAGTGCCAATGCGTACAAGTGTTTAGACTAGTTGTTTGCAGTATACAGATGGCACGTACGTCATCGAGACGGCTCACTCTTTTGTCCTATTGTACTATAAAGATCAAAGGATAAGATGAATCGGTGCAAATAATATTTCGTTAACTATACTCAAATTTCAATAAATAATGCGCATGTCGATGCCTTACTTTCTCTAACTCGTATCTTATAAAGAATGATTATTCAGGGGGTGGTAAACTTTTTATATTTATTTTTAATTTATCGAGTTCTTAGGTTTTCGCGATTGTTACACTTAGGTAATTAAACTAATTTTCCGGATTTAAATCGCGTATATTTGTTTTTTCAAACAAACCGACGTTCCGGGTCCTTTACAGGTCCCATGGTCACGGTTGACTGAGGTGGTACAGTCTTCAACCAGTTATGTCTAATATTGATGCAAACCACCCTATTTTTTCACTATAGTTACAATAGTTATTAATTAAATACCTTATTTTTAATTTTACAAAGAAAACATTCCAATTGACGCTATATTAAGTTTTACAAATTATTTTATTGAATGAATTTTTATTAAGTTCAACTTATTATTAATTATTAATAGAAATTAGAATAAACTAAAACATATTAATTAGTATAATAGTTTCATTTCCTATATTTTTAATTTGTTATCAAGGGGGTTAATTTGGATGCACTACTTTAAGAATAGGCAAAAAAGTCTGTGGGTGAATATGAAGGAAATGTTATTTGGAATTAGCCTGCAACATTTGTATATACAATACATTATTTGCATTTCAGTAACTTTGTGCTTTAAGCTACGAGTTTGTGAAAGTAAGGCGATGATATTCAAATATGATCAGTTCCGAGAAGTTCCGGGATTTGTAGACGGGAATGTCCATATTATTCTTTAGTTTAGCTAAATTAACTCTGATTACTGGAAATAATACATGAATTAGTCCCATTTTTCTTTGTCATGTCTATATAATCAAATGACATGATTCACATGGTAAAATATAAGTAACTATGGAGTGGCAAGGCTAGCGAAATACCATGGTTCCTGAGGTTAAGGGATCTTAACTGGGGGCTTATAAAGACTACGTGACAATGGCGAAGATAAATATTTGTAGTCACCATCATTCTAGCGCACCGCTCATGGAAGAAATCATAAATGGAATTACGTCAGACATGTTTATTGCCCTATTAGATACAGAATTGGAGAGTATGTGGGTAATGATTTTCTGTATCTGACTTCTAGTTGGAGATCAATGGAGCGATAAAAATGTTTGACGTAATTCCACTTATGTCACACTCCGATGAGGGGTGCGATATGGCCAGATTAAGGGCGCGTTTCCATTTTTCTTTATCGTTGGACGACTGTCGTGCCTAACCTGTGCCCATATCACGATTGTCTGTCGAGACTGTGTCCTGGACGTTTGTTTTAGCGTTGAACGACTGTCGTGTTTAGCTGTTCCCACTAGGTCGTGATAACAATTTATCGGTTCACGGCAGCCGCGTTGTCGTATGCACGACAGAATCGTTTGATGTTCCGATTATCTGTCGTTACATTTTTTCGTGACGTTTTATTTATCGTCTGACGTCTGTTGTAGTAATGTCAAAAAAGCCGTGAACGGCAGTTAATCGTGTCGTACTATATCGCACCCCTCATGAAAGAATGGCATAAGTGGAGTTACGTCTAATATGTTTATTGCTCCAATAGATACAGAAAAATGTAACTCACATCCACTCCTATTCTTGTAACTCTAGCGACTAATATTGTTGATAATAAATAAAATGAAAAAGCCTTTATTCACTGATTACTTCTAAATTAATTTTAAGTCTAACCTAATGCTAACATCAGCATCGGTTCTGGTTCTAATCAGGTTGTCCTCCTCCATATTTTTCCATAAGCAAGCAATATTGTAGATAGAGAACAATAAACATGTTTGACGTAGCTCCACTTATGCCAGTCTTCCACGAACAGTGCGACACGTAAACAACTATTTTTAAATATACACGCCACCACACTTTAAACTGCACGACTATCTGTCGTCACGACATAATGGGGCCGCGCCCTGGGACTAAAAAATGGAAAGCTTATTCATGGTCTTCCATAATAAAATCGCTTGCCTTTACACTAGTAAAAGCTGTCATTAAGAACCTCGCCATTTTGCACAATTAGAGACTGCTAATTTGTTGTACTGGCTACTTTTTGTGGCCCTAGTATCAAAAGCCAACTAGTTACCAACGGCGCGCTTTATAAGTTTTTATTAAAATTTGCCGTTTAATTTTCATATCTCAATACATTTTTTATACCTTATATTAAAATCTTTATGCTTCCTAAAATTAAAAACAACTTGCTGCTAATTAATAAAAGAAATATCGCAACATCGTGAATTGTTAAATAAGTTTAAAAAAATTAAAATATTATTATCAATAATAAGAATATTAAGTCTTATTAAAAAATAATAAATTAAAAAAATACATCGATTTTATACCAAACTATTGATTGTTTGGTAATTTACGTCACAAACATTGGCCATAATTAATTAGTTAGTAATTAAACTAAAAAAAAATATTAATTATAAAATATAATTACAATAAGTTTATTGCCAAATTGCTTTGCTTCCATTTTTAGAAATATGATAAATGACACTCAAGTCCTTAGATGCTTAACTTTCAGATCTTTATCGTGTACTTTAGACTCAGTTTCAACAAGACAAGAGCTAAAATTCTTTCCTAGAATAGATCTGGGAAATCAAATTTCAGATTGATGTAAATTATGAAACGCAACATTGAAAAAACTGAACCAAATACGTTGACACTTGGCAACATTATTTTTCGTAAAAAACATTAGCAGCAGTAAATTTGTTGCCTCTAACTAAAATTCCGACTGTAGAATTTTTTGAAAAAATCATTATTTTCACTTCTTATTTACTCAATGACATAGATTCAAAATAAGAGTACCTATTTTGTTATTTGTTGAGAAGTAACAGGAATATTATAGTAATTTTTTAATTATATTTACGTCTATAATGTATTTTATGTAATAACAAACGTGCCTGAAAATGCCTTACATGTTTCTAGCTCATAGATATTTATCAAAGTTAAACTTTAATTAGTCTAAGATTTAAAAATTTTAATTTCAATCTTTTGAAAATTAAACTAGTGTAGTCGTAATAAGTTTTAATTAAAAAATGAGGCTTTTTATGTAATGTTGATTCATGATACCGCAATTATTAATATATTGATCCATAGCGTTCCGGATAGTGCTTCGGAGTTTATTTCTTTACTCTGGTACGCAAAAGGGAATACCCCAGTTTGAGACCAGCAGCTTGATTTTGATTGGCTCTCCCGATCAGAAACTGCGTGTCTTCGGAATCGAAAGTTTTGACATTTAACAATAGAACATTTTTGACATTGAACAATAATTGATTTACCTCACAAATTAGAAAGATATAGTAGGGGAATCAGGTTTATCTTCTCGCTCAGAAATCCATCTGATTTCGAGACTACCCGATCGGCTCGCTTCCGATTTTGAATTAAAATCAGCAAGCAGGGCTCCAATTTCGATAAGTTTCTTCAAACCATTGGTCATTGCAATTCCATTCAGTGTGAGATTACATTGCAATTATCACAATGTGAGTGAATATCAATAGAATGTCATTGGAATGGCAGTGATAGCATTCATTCATTCGTTCAATCTTAACAAAGTCACAAATTCATTTAGGGGCAATGTATTTCTAGGTATATAAGCTTCTATAATCAGATTCCGATTGATATTCAAAATTTGCCATTTACGAGATTTGAAATTATAATTTAAAAGTATATTATACAGTTTCTGCTTACGTGGATGACAAAATGATGATTGAAATAAATATCTATTAAAAATATCTATGAGAAATCTATGAAAGTATTTCGTCACCCCGTTAGATACCTTTATAGCTACCAGCCTCCAGCAGCTTTCTTACAGCAGACTTCTCATAGATGGCGCTACGGCTAAAAAGTCGATGAAAAACCAAATACAATGACACGACAACAAGAACATAGAAAAATTCGTGAAGTCCGCTGATTCGTTCCGTGGCTGAGCTGGTATAGCGTCTGGCACGGTATGCTAGAAGACGTCGGTTCGAATCCGACCGGATCGAAGGAATTTTTTCTGAGTGTTCGATCTTTGTATTAATAATTATAACAAACTGGTGGAGTAATTTTACAAAAATAATTGAATATGAATTCAATAAAAAATTAAATACAATGAATGAACCCCATTTATTTATTTTAAAAATATCAAGTCGCAGAACTATATTACTAGCATTATAAACATATTTTTGTTCCATAACTTAATTGTTCATTAGATTACTTTCGTACAAAAATAGAAATGTTTGAACAGATCGCTTTAAATAGTGACAACTCTGTGCAATAGTAAAAGAAAGCACCGACCACCAACATCATTTTTATAAATGACAGCACGCAGGAGGCGTCGCCAAGAATCTTAGAGCGTGGAAAAAATACAGATGTAAAAAGTGTTAGAGAGTACGAGAAAACTTAATCCGCCGTCTGCTAAGCAAAACGCGACTAAGTGGCAAGTGGTCAAATATCTGTTTGAAATAGCATAAAATAGAGCTCAAAATTCTCTATTTAAAAACAATTAAAACTTCTAATATTGTAACAAATGTATGCCTCCAAATAAAGAAAAAAAAAACAATGTCTACCTACTTATACCATTTTTTTTTAATATTTTGTGCTAGTTCGTTCGTAGCAGAAAAGTGAATGGCATCGAGACAAACCCAAGTAGGATTTAACGGTGCTTTACAATATTTATGTATCATTTTTTTTTAAAACAATAAAATAAATAAATAAAAATTTAAATGTCCGACAGATATATAGGAACTTATGCGTAGCTAATATAATATTAAAAAAACTTTAAAAAAATTTCAGTATTATAAAAATGGTTTACGGTTTTTTTTTCAGATATCGTAGCATTATTTTGTCGAACTCTTATCTTAAACCACAAAGTTACTGTGCAAAAAATGGATTGTATATACAATTTTTACAGGCTGATTTCACTTAAAACTTTCATTCTTAAAGTTACGCATCCAAATTAACACCCTCAATAAGAAATTTAAAATAAATAGAAAGTTTT